CATTCCTAAAAAAATTCACAAAAGGCATAAATTAACGCTAACCAACCTCAGCTGGTCCTCTCTCAGTTGCTGGACAATTCCTTTATTTATCCCTGAGTATCTCCCCAGAACATCCTGCACAATGTCATGTAAATGGATAACATTTCCTGGGCATTTACCACATGCCAGACATTAAGGATTCATTTATTCAATAGGTATTTAGTTAGCATCTATGACAAGCTGCCCTTAGATTTAGACTATAATGGTGAGCAAAAACTTGCCTGCATTGCACTTGCAGTCTACTGTAGACAATAGACATTAATCAAATTATCACAGAAATATAAAATTACAATGAAATGGAGAAATACATGGTGCTAGGAGACTATAAAAGAATGGGCATGACTTAATCTAAGAGAAGACAGAATGCTTCCTTAAGAAAGCACTCTTGATGACAGCTGAGTTAAGCAGGCAAAACCAGAAGTGGGGAAAGTTCTGACAAATCTGTGATTGGGCATTGTCAGTAGTCTCACTTTACAGATGACACAACAGAGACTTAACATCATGGAGCTAATTACTGGTAAAGCTCGTTAGAAAGGAATCCAGATTCTGTGTGAATATCTTAATGTAAAAAAAAAAAAAAAAAAAAAAAAGAAAGGAATCCAGAGCTAATGGAGGAAAGCACCAACCCCCCAAATCCCTTCAGTGGCTCCTTGTCTGTCTTTTCAGGACAAAATCCTCTTTTATACCACATATTAGGACCTTCAAAGTCTGGTCCTCTCACCCTTCCAGCCTTAATTCCCATCTTACCCTTCTTCCTCAACATCACACTCAACTCCTGTTCTTGTCACTATTTCACATGACTAGAATCTCCGCAATTTCCTTAGCAATGTTCAGTAGACCTGGAGCTAGAATTACCCAAAATGGGGAAATGGCTAGTAGATACAGAGGAAAAAGGACTTGCAAAAGCATCTTTAAAACAGCTAACTGGGAGGTTTGGCTGGGAAGAAAGAGAAGGTCCTTTTATAGTCCTTTTTCTCTGCTTGGAAAATACTCTCTCAATACCCATGCCCATTTTCTGTGTGTAGTGAGACCTAGCCATCCTTTAACACTCACATCAAACGTCCCCTCCTCTCTAAAGGCTTCCATGTCTTGCAAGCAAAGGTAGTCTTTTTTTCCTCTTTGTTCCCAAGGTTCTCTGAATATACTTGTAATATAGTTACAAGTGTGTGACTGCTTCTCCAGACTTAAAGTTGTCACACATTCATCAATAATATTTGCGTATCTTGATGCTGGGTGCGGTGGCTCACGCCTAGCACTCTGGGAGGCCGAGGCGGGTGCATTGCTCAAGGTCAAGAGTTTGAAACCAGCCTGAGCAAGAGCAAGACCCCGTCTCTACTAAAAATTGAAAGAAATTAGCTGGACAACTAAAAATATATAGAAAAAATTAGCCGGGCATGGTGGCAAATGCCTGCAGTCCCAGCTACTTGGGAGGCTGAGGCAGAAGCATTGCTTAAACCCAGGAGTTTGAGGTTGCTATGAGCTAGGCTGACGCCAAGGCACTCTAGCCCCAGGCAACAGAGTGAGACTCTGTCTCAAAAAATAAATAAATAAAATAATACTTGTGTATCTTGATAAATCCAAAGATGTCCATCATTTTACCTGATCTATCAGCTGCCTTTGACAAAACTGAACATACTACTCTACCCTGAATTCCACACCAGACTCAAAATTGTCCTTGTCCCTCACTGCCTGCTCAGTCTGTCTCCTTTGGAGGTTCTTCCTCACTTCCTAACCTGTAAATGCTAAAATGCCTAAGGACTCAGGCCTCCTGCCGGCTGCTCTTCTGTCTACATTCACTCCTTTAACGACTGTCTCCAGTCTCACAACTTTAACACATTAACTGCCATGTGAGTTGTATTTAACTCGCATTAGTTTTGAGCCCAAGGCCTCCTGAAGTATGTGTAACTCACAAATCTCTTCAACTTGGGAACTGAAGAGAATTATTTTTCAAGTTGCATATAACTCACACACAGAAAACAATAAAAAATACAAAATTTTCATTAAATTAGAAAGGGTCATTTTGTTTTCAAAGTTTTCATTCTATAATATTTTCACAGTAAAACACCGTGGCTCCAAGGAAAAAAAAATTTCTAGTGTGGCAATTAATGTGTTAAATACCATCTGTTCACTGACAACTTTCAAATGTTTGTTTCCAGCAATGATCACTCTTTTGAACTAAACTGCCTACTCAACATCTCCACTTGGATGACTAACAGAGATTTCAACATGACCAAAACTGAACTCCTAATCTTCCCCCACAAACCTGCCAGTTTTCCATGTCTCACTTAATGGCAATTCTACTCTTCTAATTGCTCAAGTCCAAAACTTTGACAATTCCCTTATTCTCATAACCCACATTCATTCAATCCATAAGCAAATTCCGTTGGCTTTACCTACTAAATACATCCAAAATTGAACTGCTACTCACCACCTTCACTTGTTTTCATCCAGTTAAGATGCTATCATTTCATCTGAACTATTACAACGTCTTCCTAATTAGTCTCCTAGTTTTCACCTACCTCACCCTCCAACAAACTATTCTTAACACAGCAGCCAGAGTGATTCTATTAAAACCTAAGTCAGATCATGTCACTCCTCTGTTCAGAATTTTCCACTGGTTGTTATTTACTCACTGGGCAATTCCTTCAAGGCAGGATTCATGTTGTGGCATATTTGGATCTCCACATCACTAACATAATGTCTTGCCACTTATTATTAATAGGTACTTAGTAACTATTTGTTAACTGACTAAACCCAATCAAAGTAAATAGACACCTAATTTTGGAAAATCTTAGTATCAGATTACAGTTTGGACTTACAGATATTAGGAAGTCACCACATGGATGAATATATATATATATATATATATGTATAATGTACATATCTCTATACCAAATAGTTATACATAATTATGAACTAGGCCAGAGAACAAATCTAACATATAATTGATTTCTGGAACTAGAGGGGCATTTGCAGTTGTTGCACCAGAATTCTATTACTGTAATGACTTTTTTGCACTGAGTTATCTTACAAAATATTAGTGAAATGTACATACAAGTTCTGAATAAATACTGTTGTCTTAGGCAGTGAGTCCATGTAAATGTTACCTATAATTCTCCTTCAGTCTTACAGTAAAATTCCTAGTAATATATACTTCTACCTTTTCTAATAAAGATATTAATCTCTAAAAACAAATATATCCCAAAGTCTAATAATAAAAAAGTAAAAACATTTACAAGGAGGTTGCTCAAGATTGGGATGAGTAATTAGGTCAGTTTAGAATCAATTTACTTCTATTCAATGTATAATTCAAAGCATTTTCAAAACTATAGCTATGAGCAACAAAATTACCTTCCAAAACACATGGAAATTGCTTATTACAATTATCTCATCTCTAAAGTAATGATAACAGTTGTTGTGCAGGTTAAGTGAGTAATATAGGTAAAGCTAGTAGAAGAGTGTGCACTCAGTACATTAGCTAGTAATATTAGTTATTATTTTACTAAAGTGAAAATGATCAAATGCCCTAATCCAATGTGGACTACTTAGAGTCATACTTGACAGGTCAACTGTTTGGAAACAGTTAATACATTATAATAATACATAAGATAATACATATAAAGAGCCACTTGAAAAGGTAAAAACATTTAAGAAAAAATATCACCTCTGAACTGTGATACACACAACACTGCTGTGTGAAGGCAGCTATAACATCTATGGACCCTGAGAATTTTGTCTTGATTATTTAGAAAAACCCATTGTTCCCACTTTGTCATTATTGTATCTTTCAACAAAGCAATGAATTCTATCATTTCCACCAATCACAAACAGATCTCTGACCTTCAGTTGTTATTTTCGAATCAAAACTATGTGATTAAGTCTCGGTTCGATCTACTATCAGAGAGTAAAAACAGGTTAATTAAGTCGATAGCAAACAACTCAGTGGGACAAACACATCATTATCAAGCCAAAAGTGAACTGCAGTCAAAAAACATGAAGACATTAAAGTTTTTTTCAAACAAAAGTTTGAATCGCATTGACCTATCCCGGGCCATTTAAAAAAAAGAAAGAAAGAAAAAACTGCGTTCTTGAGATTATCCACTACAATTTCAACTCAAGGTCAAAATTAGCCCACTATTTCAGATGGGCTAATGCTGCAGCGGCAGGCAGTTTGTGATCATGAATGTGAATGATGATAAACAGGGTTAACTGAGGAAAGTTACTCCCCTGCCTCTTCCACTTTAGCCTTCCTCCCTAACTAAACAAGGTTTGAAGGTAGCTGAAAACTAACTGCGAAGTCTTTTTTTTTTTTCTCTACCTTCCAAAATTTGAGAGGCGAAGTTAACAAGCGAAGAAAAGAGACCTGACCGAGTGAGAAATGAAGAGCCAAGGTAAGCCAAACCCGGCCAGCAGCCACAAGAGTAGCGAAGTGGGGGACCCGTAACAATGCTGCCCCCAATGCTCAGCAGTGAGGGATCGCATTCCGGGAAAGCTACGCAGCGCAACCCCGCTCCTCCCAATCTGCCCGGAGGATGAAAGGGGAATCCCAGGAGAAGCAAACTTTTACATGAGCATGAGAAAAACTCAAAACACAGCTCTGAATACCTCGCGGCCTCAGACTCCAGTCCCCCAGAAAGCGGTCGTGTGAAGATGACGTCAACGACGCGCCGGCTGTACCCGCGGCGCGAGCGGCGCTCTCCGATGACCTCACGCTGTCATCCTCGCGGCGTCTCACCGTTTCCCTAGGCCCTAAATTTAGGCGAGGCTCCCCTAGACTGCCTCTGGCCAATGCTGTGGAAGTTTGAGGCGACACTCTGAGCACCTTTATCAAGATTTGTACTCGTCCATCACTCACCCCAAGTACAAGTTGAGTGTATCTAACCAGGAGAATATATTGGTTACTAAAGCTTTGTTCAAGTTTTTACTTTCGCTAAAGCTTAACCGAGGACCTTGGTTCTTACCCTTTCCTTGTCCGCATGAAAATTAGCCTCCAGAGAGGCTTCCCAGCGTCTGTGGCAGAGGATGGCTTCTTTATTTTTACGGTCCATCGCTAAGTGATACTTTTGTAAAACCCAGTAAACATGAATTACTAGGAAAATGAGAAAAACAAATATGTGCAAAATTAAAGCCCAGATTTTTATTAGCTTCAATAAATGTAAAATTTCATTTCTCTATATACAATCAGAACAAACAAAATAGAAAAAAAGAATTACAAGAACTGTACATATTCATTGAAAAAGTGTAGTAAGCAATTAAGAGAATTGTTTTACATTCATAACTTTTTGTCGTTCAGAGTCGTAATTTAAAAGTTACGCATGAGACAGCGATTACATATATTAAATGCTTGTAAAAGTACTTTGAACAAGCACCATGTATGTCAATATTTAAGGTTTTTTTTTTTTTTAGACAGAGTCTCGCTTGTTGACCAGGCTAGAGTGAGTGCCGTGGCGTCAGCCTAGCTCACAGCAACCTCAAACTCCTGGGCTCAAGCAATCCTTCTGCCTCAGCCTCCCGAGTAGCTGGGACTACAGGCATGTGCCACCATGCCCGGCTAATTTTATATATATATTAGTTGGCCAATTAATTTCTTTCTCTTTATAGTAGAGAGGGGGTCTTGCTCAGGCTGGTTTCGAACTCCTGACCTCGAGCAATCCGCCCGCCTCAGCCTCCCAGAGTGCTAGGATTACAGGCGTGAGCCACCGCGCCCGGCTAATATTTAAGGTTTTGAAAGCAAATGAGCTTGTTTCTGGTTTGTTTTTCTATAGTTGGATTAAAGACGTTTCTTGTGGAGCTTGCAGTGTATAATAGCATGTATTAATATTTCAAACTGTTTCTCTGTTTAACACTAGTGGAGAAACAAGTCTCAGCTACATTGATGGGAATAGGAGAAAAGATTTTTAAAACTGTTTCAGCAAGCTAAGGATATTCATTTTTAACTTTTATCTAAAATGAAACAATGCCATATTTTAAAAATTCATATTCAATACTTCATCACTTGCAAGTTCCAACAATGTGTCCTTTAAAGTTATCATTAAATTTAAATTATATTTTGATGAAAGAAATTAATTCCAGATCTTATACATTATTAGGGTCAAAATTACCAAACCTTAAAATATCACAAATTGTAATGTAGTTCTGCAGACGTGACTAGTACACAATTTACACAACATGGAACTCACCACTTGAGTTCAACAACATGCAAACTAATCTATGTCTTATTCAAGAAAACCAGTTCACCGATCACTATTGCTGCAACAATGAAGAATTGCTATAAAAGTTTCTAAATTATTATTCTCAATTTCTACACTTATCTCGTGGAGAGGTTATAACAAATAGCTCCTAGACTGACAATGATCCACAGACCACTTTTTGAGTAGCACCATCCTAGAGAATTGGGTGCATAACCTTACCACAAAGACTGTAAAGAAAAAGGAAAATTGAAACATCATCCAGAATAACTCAGAACTTCACAGTTTGGCAATGAGGCTCCACAAGGCTAATTTTCACACCATGGGTCAATTTGGAGTCTTCAGAAAGCAAACACTGAAATGGACTTAGGCGTGCAAGACGTTTAGGTGGGAGTGGTGTGATCTCTAGAAGGTAAAAAGTCTCTGGAAGGTAAAACAGGATTGGGCAGAGACAGCTGCATATCATGATGGCTGAACCACCTAGAGGTGAGCTGCAGAGCAAAGCATGTCCATTAGAGAAGACCACATTGGGCAGAAATAGTCGGGGACTATGCCTCCCTCTATGTTCAGTCATAGATAGAGACTGCCTACCAAGAGAGTGGCTTCAGCTTGAAGCAGATCCTGAAGGTGCTATCAGCTGGAAGCTGTCAGCTAACTGCACTCCAATAGCTGAATGGCAAATTCTGTCTTTAAGGGAGATTGAAGGGATGCAGCTTTTTAGCTGCCATATGCTAAACAACCACACAACAGTAGCACCACAATCCCATGATTTGTGCAACAAATATTTACTGAGACCCAGTTATGTGTTAGATTCTGTTCTACATGTTACACATACAGAAATAAAAAAAGTCCCTCTCCCTATGGAACTTACATTCAAAATTTTCACTGGGAATATCTCTACCTCTTCTTTTTCCTCCTCTTTACTCCACTTTACTTTCCCATTCTTTCTCTTTGCCATTTTTTCCTCCTTAAATTCCTGTCTATTTAAACATCTGAACCTTTTTTTTTTTTCTGATACATGCTTGAATATTGCTCAGCTCTCTAAGGAATAATGGAGAAAAAAATGTTAAAGCCTCAGGTCATAGAGGGGAAAAAAAAGCCTTCTACTGACAACATTGCGAAACCACTTCATCATACTGTTAATACATCACAGTGTCTACTACCCCATTTCACAACATCAGAAGGCTGAACTTGCCTCAAAGTGTTAGTGAAAGAGTTGATAGATAATGATAAAGTTTGCTTTGGAAATGAAAAGTAAAAGCACTAATCATATACCCAGTACAGATCAGTTACAAAAGATGATGGTTGATGCCAAACCAGCTCTTCAAGGCAAACTAGCTACTTGACCCTAGGCAAGTTATTGAACTTCTCTGATCTTCAGTTTCCTCTTCTGGGAAATAGAAACAGTAGCAGGACCTATTTTGTAGGTATTATGAAGGCTAAAGGAGACAATGTATCTAAAAGCTTACCACAGTGCATGGCACAGAATAAACATTTAATAAACATTAATTATTAGTAACAGTAGTAGTGATACAATATTATCACTATAAAGGAGGAAATTAGAAAATCCTGATGTTGAATTTAAGAAGATTCTTAAATTTTAGTGTTCAAATTAAGAATAATAAAATCAGTTCCCAAGTAATATCTGAGCAGAATATTGAATTTTTTTGTATTCCAAATGACAGCATAAGAAAATCAACATTTTACCACCATCATAACAATAATTGACTCAAGTGAGACTCATCAATACATACTAAAACTATTGAGTAAAAGTTTGATGGGGAGCAGGATATTTATGCCACCTCAAATCATCTCATCACAAATTATTTTTGAATTGCAAAGGTAAAAATGGAAACTTTACAATGGATAAGCCTGGTAGACATAGATTGAAGTGTTCTATGTTAGCATCACTAATAATGATACAAACTTATGTCATGTTCCTTATTTGGTGAGGCCCTAAGAAAGACAATATTGCTCATGTATTATTTCTGCCAAAAATGTATTGCCTGAATCTAATCCTCAGGAAATATCAGACACACATATATTAAAGGTTATTCTAAAAAAGAAAATGGCCTGTAGTTCAGAAATGTTAATGTCATGAAAGAAAAAAAAAGACTAAAGAACTGTGCTAGATTGTGTGTGATCTTGGACTGGATCTAAAATCAGGCCAGGCATAGTGGCTCATGCCTGTAATCCTAGCACTCCGGGAGGTGGAGGAGGGAGGATCGCTTGAGGCCAAGAGTTCGAGACCAGCATGAGCAAAAGCAAGACCCCCATCTCTACAAAAAGTAGAAAAGTTAGATGAGCATGGTGGCCCCTATAGTCCCAGCTAGTTGGGAGGCTAAGGCAGGAGAATCGCTTGAGCCTAGGAGTTTGAGGTTGCAGTGAGCTATGATGATGTCACTGCACTCTAGCAGGGACAACAGAGCAATACCCAGTCTTAAAGAAAGAGATTGCATAATTGGTAAATCTAGATGAAGAGCATGGGAGAGTTTATTATATTATTCTTGCAACTTGTCTGTAAACTTGAAATACAACAATAAATGCATGAGGAGTCAAGAGGTCAGGGAGGCAGAGAGGGCCTTTGCCGACATGCGGTTGTTTAGCTAAATGGGTAGTTTGCATACAAGACTTCTCATCTTGTTTGTGACCTTGGGGACCTGGGATGAAAAATTCACCACAGGTTACAGCCTATGTATTTGAAATATTCCTTTGCAGAATATTTCCCATAGCCATCCCCCAAAGCCCTCCCCCAATTTTGTAAGGAAAAAGACCTTACTAGCATTAAGAATTCTATTACCAAGCTTTGTTTCTAAATATAACACAAATTCAAAGATAATTGAACTATTTCACATGACCAATTGGAAGCACAGTCTCATTAAGTAATTTCATTTATTAATTGTTATTGTGGAGCCAAAGTGGCTGAATCACTCTCCTCCACCCTCTCTGATTGGATATTAAAAGTAAACAAGGGCAGGTGTGGTGGCTCATGCCTATAATCCCAACACTTTGGGAGGCTGAAGCAGGAGGCTCACTTGAGGCCAGGAGTTCATCATCAGCCTGGGCAACACATAACAAGAATCTCCCCACCACACTCGTCTCTACAAAAAATAAAAAATATTTTTTGTTTTTTAAAAAACAAAAAATGTGTGGTGGTGTGCACCCATAGTACTAGCTGCTCAGGAGGCTGAGGTGGGAGGATCGATTGAACCCAGGAGTTGGAAGTTATAGAGGCTACAGTCACGATTGGGCCATTGCACTCACACCTGGGAGACAAAGCGGGAAAGACCCCGTCTCTATAAAAAATATATCATTCTAAAGACTCTGCAAAATTGTATTTGTTCTTCAGCTCTCTGTGCTTTATTTTCCCAAATTATTTATATTTTTTAAAAACAGAATAAAAACAGGATTCAAGACCTTCTAAAATCAGCTATTTCAAAAATTAATTGTCAAAAGGCAATGCTTATTTAAGAAATTGATTTCTGTCGTACTTCTTTAAAAATCCTCTTGAAACCTTGCCATATAATAACATCCTTAAAAAAAATCAATGTTTATAGGCACAGTGAAAATAAGTATATTTATTACTCAGAATGAATCCTTCCCGTGAATTGCATGTAGCTATGTGCTCTGATTCCAAAACTACCTCCTGCCATTCCCATGTCAAGAATAACCTGAATTTTCTGGCCTGATGGTCAAAGTATAAAGAAAAAGAGCCTTGATCCAGGGTTCAGAGATTAGATCTCAACAGTGTGTGATTCAGTTGAGTGCTTTGAACCTACATCTGTAAAATCATGATTCCTGACCTAGTAATTATAAATTAGTGAGAAATTTCCTTTATTGTTAGGAGAATTGTTCTGAGTGAAAAAGAAAAAAGGAATGTGGGAGTGTGCTGAGAACTATAAAGATGTAAGCTGTTTTGACACACTCAACTGATCCTTAGCTACTGCATGTTGCTAAAGATCACATAGACAATATCTCTTACTTTTAAACTATTCAAGTTGGAAATGTTCAGGAAGTCCTTTGCATTTGTGAATTTAATTTTCAAAATTTTGAAAAAAAACTTCAAAGTTCTCTGAACTGTATCAATGTCTAATATTTCTAAGACATGGATGAAAAACTATTTTTTAAAACCACACAGATAGTGAGTATGCCAACCAGTGTCTCCTTTTTGTCAGGTTTCTGATCTTCTTTCTGCATCTCATGTGCATTGTAACTCTAGGGAAAGATAAATGTTGTTTTTTGTGTACAAACAGTGACCCTCAAATGAAACCTAGTGGCTGGTGCTAGTGGTCAGAGTGAAGAGATCAAATTGAAATTTTTTTAAAAAAATATTTTTAATAAAGAGAAAGTGAGAAGGGGGTTCAAGTTCCTCTTTTTTTTTTTTTTTTTTTTTTTTTTTTGACACAGAGTCTCACTCTGTTGCCCCAGGTAGAGTGCAGTGGTGTCATCATAGCTCACAGCAACCTCAAACTCCTGGGCTCAAGTGATCCTCCTGCCTCAGCCTCCTGAGTAGCTGGGAAGACAGGTGCACACCACAACACCCAGCTAATTTTTCTATTTTTTTGTAGAGATGGAGTCTCGCTCTTGCTCAGGCTGGTCTCAAAGTCCTGAGCTCAAGCTATCCTCCTCCCTCAGCCTCCCGAATTTGAGGATTACAGGGGAGAGCCACCACACCCAGCCCCAAAATTTAATTAAATAATAAATCTTAGCATGAAAACAAAATTTGTGGATAAATCAGAAAATATAATTTAGAATTTCATATCTACTTAGATCTAAGACATAAATGAGTTCACATACACAGAAAAATTATCCACTGATAATTTTAGCTAGTGCAAAACTTGTTCCTCAAATGGATGATTGCACCAAAAAAATGTACCAGTTCTGAGTTTCTGTTGAATCCTTTCTAGAGATTCGTATGTTTTCTATGCAAACTTTCACATCACAGATTAACCTTTTCTCCAACTCCCATCAGGGTGACTCCAGTATATGTTTTATAAAACAGTTAAAAAGCTGGAGTCAAGGTAGAGGGGTTATATTTCTTGGTAATATTTTTCCTGAATGTTATGTTAGAAATTAGATGCTATGTTTTGCAATTTTAAGTATTTGAAAATATTTCCATAAGTATTCCTTATAAAGCCAGGTTCTACTGAATTTTCAGCATTGTAGGTAAGCTAGGCCCCTGTTATGAGAGGGCTAAACAGTTAAAACAAACAAGTAGTTGATTGCTGTATTTTCAGCCCTCTGTGACTATGCCCTTTGCCACGTGACTTTGCTGTTCTTTCCATCAGCAGCTCAGAGTATATTTTCCCACCTCTTGATTCTGGGTTTGGCTATTTGGCTTGTTCTGGCCAATGGGCTAATAGTGGATGTGATACAAAAAAAAAAAAGCTTAAAAACCTGGTCTTGTTGTGTTGTGCTTCTGCCATCCCAAGGAGGATAGGCCCAGCTAGCCCATTGCGCCTGGAGGAGGATGAGAGACTCATGGAACAGAGTCAGTGACCCCAGCCAGGACCAGTCTAGACTCGCAGCTGACTCATAGCCCATCCCCTGGGTATGTGAGTGAGCCCCAGTCAAGATCAGCAGGTAGTCCAACTTAGCTGAACCCTTCTGAGAAAGGCTCCTGAGAAATAAATGTATATTATGCTATTAGCCTGATCAGGATGCCATGACAGAATACCACCAACTTGGTACCTTACACAACAGAAATTTATTTTCTCACAGTTCTGGAGTCTAGAAGTCCAAGATCAAGGTATCATCACAGTTGGTTTCTGGTGAAGGTCTCTCTTCCTGGTGTGCAGATGGCCACCTTCTCACTGTGTCCTCACATGGCCTTTTTTCTGCACATGCACACAGGGAGAGAGATCCCTAGTATATCTCTTCCTCTTCTCATAAGGACACTAGTCCTACCAGATGAGGGCCCCACCCCTATGCCCCATTTAACCTCACTTACCTGCTAAAGACCCAATCTCCAACTACTGTAGGCACATTGTGTGACTTCAACATATGGATTTGGAGGGGACACAATCCAATCTACCACAATTGTTGTGTTACAGCAATTTTGTGGCACTAACTGCCACATTTAGTATAAATGTATAAAGGAGAAGAGGAGTGAGTTTAGCTCCTTGGAAAAATGTTAATTCTCCTAGATATTAAGAGTTTTTAATCAAACTAAAAAAATATAAAGATGCCTTATTTCCAATATATAAGCTACTGGGGCTCATTTCATCACAGTAAAAAAAGTGACATCGATGAAATAGAAGGAATTATTTTTATAGGATGACTTTGTTTTCCTTTCTTGAGTGTCATGGGTTCTACTATGGAACTTACCTTTAAATAGCATTCTAGATCCTGTATAAAAGGAATTTTTAAACTTCTGAAAATGGTTGTATTTAGAAGAAAACACAAACATTTATAAAGTAAAAATATCCTTCTCAAGAAATAATAACATGTTAGTCTTGGTCCAAAAGAACAAAAATATAATCATATTAAAATATCAAAAGAGCCTTCCCTTATTAGTGGAAAATCCTATCAGTATCACAATCTTTAATGGCATATTGTTTCTCAAGAGCAAGTCTTTCACTTGTTAACATGTTGAAAGTACCTGCACAGGCTTTGTATAAATTTACCTGTCAAACTTGCTAGCAGTAGTTTGCTAATCCTTTCTGTTAGATATAATTTTTAAATTAGGAAACCAGAGCCATTTCTGATAATAGCCCTGAAATTAATGAAAGACTCTTTTTGTTTTTGTGCTATAATGCTGCATACTTGTTCCAAAGTATACATTTGTGCAACAAGTAGCAAGCAGTGAGTAATTAACATCTAACAATGCAGTACTGTCAGGGTATTTATCCGAGGCTTCTATAATACATCAAACTATTTTGCTTTATTAATTTATTTTCTGTATTTCAAAGACTGCATATGCATACAACACAGAGTTCCACTGATTATGCAGACATCACACTCATTCTTTTCATCCACAGATCCTAACAACATGTTGCTTTGCATATTTTAAGAAAACCCTCTAACCATCTATTGTAATTGTCCAAGAATAGTTAATATGGTGGTAGTCAAAGATAATTCTTTACAAAAGAGAAGTAAAATTTGATAGTAAATTGTATAAAAAATGGTTTGACTTGTACTCTAATTTGAAAATCAAAATTAAAAATATGATTAAAAATTTATCTTATTTATCAAAATTCTGGTCATAACTGCAGCACACTAATTCTTACAATGAATAAAGACAAAATCAAATGTTGATTGACATTTTTGTGACAAAATTGTTAGATGTTAAATGCAATGTATTGTCCTGGATTGGATTCTGGAAGAGAAAAAGAACATTAGTGGTGGCTAGGCATGGTGGTTAGGCCTAGTGGTTCATGCCTGTAATCCTAGCACTCTGGGAGACTGAGGCAGGAGGATTGCTTAAAGCCAGGAGTTTGAGGTTGCAGTGGGTTATGATGATGCCACTGCATTCTAGCCTGGGCAACAGAGTGAGACTCTGTCTAAAAAAATAAAATAAAATAAAATAAAAATTAGTGGAGAAAAATTGATGAAATCTGAATAAAATCTAGACTTTAATTAATAGTAATATGCCAATGTCACTCTCTTAGTTTTGACCATGGTAATTTAAGATGTTAACATTAGGAGAAACTCTATGAAGGGTAGACAGGAACTCATAAATCTAAAGTTATTCCAAAATAAAATTTATTAAAAATTGTTAGATAGCCTGATGTGACCTTTCTTCATTTACTTTCGTAGCACAACCATAAAGAGATTCATCTTTGCAAAAATATATGAAGGCTGTACCAATTTTCCCAAGGGTGTCTCTTAATCCTTTGAAACACAAATCTTTTCTTCTTGAAGCACATGATCCTTGTCATAATCCTTACAGATTTTTCTTTAACAGTAACTGCTCTAAGTTTCCCATATCCTCATTGCCCAGGACTTTCATTTTATCCACCACTTTGCTCAATTAAATGAAATCCAGGATCCTTTGCAGTATTTATGATTACACTTTGTAGTCAGTCTGCAAGGAAGAGGCCTGTTGAAAGGCGATGGGCTCTAGAGCTAAGAAGTTGGAGGGGAGACTAATTTTATAAGTGGTCAGTTTTTTATAAAATGATCTACACAATCTCATAACTGCAAGAATGCAGATAATATTTAGAAGGCAGGGAACCCTATGCTTCTACTCTTCCTGTACTATAAATACATACAGAATTGAGGAAATAAGGCAGCCAATGAGAATTGGCAACCAATTAAAAAAGAAAAAAGGCCCAAGAGAAATGTAAACACAGGGCACAAACTATATTCAGAGATTTTCTTCCTTCTGTGGAGCACTATGTCATAAGAAGGACTCTCAGAAGCATATGACACAAATGATCAACTTCTAATCTTCCCACAGTTGTGGCCCCATAGAAAGAAAGATCGACATAAGCCCATACTCAGGTCTATTTGGAATCCAACACAGGCTCATACTCAGTTATAATGTGATCACTCTAATATGACTATGTTAGTTTTTTCAGACTAGTATTAATATAAAGGAACACAAAAAAGCAAATTCCCATTAAATTACAGGGTCCCCAACATTTTGCTTTGAACGCCAGTTGAGAAACATTGCTTTAAAAGTACAGCAGAGGGAGAAGCAATGAACCGTATTAGTAAAGAGCTCAGCTCTCAAGAGGAATTCCAGGCTTGCAACCCTGGTACAGAACTTACTTGCTGTGTGAACTTTACAAATTACTCTCCCTCTCTGTACCGCAGTTCCCTCATCTGTGAAAGGAGAGTGATAATAGTATCTTCCTCATAAATTATTGTCAGGATTAAATAAAATAATCTAAGAAAAGAAGGCAAAATTGTGCCTGGCATTTGGCACCACCTACTGCTGTTACACATCCAGTCTGACGGAGGAGAAAACTGATGACACAATCACAGGGCTCCGACTTGACAGCATTGATTTGCATTTACTTTGATATTTTCTTCCTTAAAAGTTGACAGAGCTGCTGAAAACACTATTGCTTTCTTCATATACTATGTTTATCTAGACAGTTCCTTATGTTCCTGCAAGGAGGCTATTGTGTGTGCTGATAAAAGCACCAATTCATTTCTGGTTCGATTCAATCATAATCAGATTGTCAACTTTACAAGATGTTAATTAAGGAATAAGAGACAATTGGGTGTGTTTTACCAGGCTGTTATGATAAGCCTAGTACGCCTAGTGCATGAGCCGGGAGGGTGAGATGCCTGTGCTCTCCCCTGCTCCTCTCTAGGTGATAATGGGTGTTTATGACTCAATTAAGCATCCCTTAAAAGGAGAATTCCTTCTCCTTCCAGTAGCGGGGTGTTTAATAATTTGTTTTGTTTGGGAGTTTTACCCCTGAATAGGTCCTCTTAGGCTGAAGAAAGTAGAAACTGTATTTGGAAACATGATCTATGGCTCCTCTTGCTCACCTCCCCACCCCACCCCCAGCCTGCCCCCTCTGCTGAGGACTCTCTGGAAAAGCTTTCCATGCCTTCTGTGGCCTTGATGCCCGGGAACTCCAAGCAGTAGGGACAACTGTCCTCTGAAGGCCCTGTAGCCACATAACTGATTCGGACAAAACAGACACACTTGTAAAATTGCCAGCATGTCTTATTTCCTCACAAAACATCTCATCTTTACAATTTAACTGAATAATTAAGTGAAGATTTTTCTACTTTGCTTCCTAGGGCATCGCTGGCTCAAGTTTGCACAACTACAAGATGGGTACATAGGGACTCGTCATACTCTTCTTGTTATTATTCTTATGAACATAAAGGAAAAATACAGTTAAAGTTTCTAATGTCACCTCCTTTTAAAATTAATAGTAACATAATCAAATTGAAATGTCATTTTTAAGGGGGAAAAATGAAGGAATAGTTACCAAAAGTTAGGTATTTTTCCCTAAGGCCAAATCAGTGAAAACAAAGAACCAGGACAAGAGGTTTGAGGAAAAGGAAAGAGATGTTTGTTACTTTGCCAGCAAATGAGGAGGGCAGCAGACTAGCGTCTCAAAGACTGCCATCCCATCTTCAAGCAGAAAAACAGGGCTTTTTAAAAAAGGAGGGTCTCTGGCAGTTGGGCTTGGGTCTATGTGACCAGTGTCACATGTCATGTCTTCGGGCTATTGTGTTTAACTATAATTGGCGGTTTGGGTCGACCTTATTTCTGGTGATGATGATTTTGTGACCCTTGTCTGGACAATTCTGTTGAGTCATCTGTCATATAAGATACTAGAAAACAAACAGCAAAGAACATTTCTCTGCCCCTTTGATTACTGTCCTTGGGCAGGAAATCAGGTTTTAATTCCCAAAAAGGGTGGAGGGTTTTAAAGGGACAACTGGTAAAACATTTCATTGCCCTTTTTCAGATCCTTACCTCTGATACAGTATTGGTGTAAGTTCTTTGCAGCTTCAAATAATTGTGCCCACTGTTTAATAAGTATTTGGATTTAAACCTATTTTTATCTATCATATTTGCTAGTTGTGCTGTCTAGACTCTGATATCACACTCTCTACACAGGATTCTTCATGAGGCAGGAAGAGACATTCTCGGTAGTGAAGACTGCTTAACTTTCCCAATATCCTCCACCCCTCCAGATCAAGGCCATATTGGAAGCATCAGTACTTAAAGTGTTAATTTGAAACAGAAAATATAGACAGATACTCTTACATCTTATCTCCAAGGAAACTTCTACAACATGTCCTGTTTTTCTTGGTGGTTCTGCAGAGTTCCTATCTCTTAGAGCTTTAAGTATCCAGAATTGCTAGAAATCCCTGCAATCCTATCTTACTATAAAAGTCCTACAAGTAAAACACGTAATCACTTCATTTCCACTTAAACATTTAAAAGGACCTCGCTAGTTATAAATCCAGACCTGTTGCAACAATGGCTAGATTTAGTAATGGAATATCATGATACATTTCACTCTACTAAAAAAAAACAAAACAACTGTTTTGCCTTTATTGCCAAGTAGACTTGAAAGTCTATTGTAAGAATAAATAATAACTTTGAGAATAAAATGAATTGAACCAGGGTATGGGTTCTTGTGTTTTACGTATACATAAAAAATTCTTCCACTGCTGTTAAAAAATAAAAATATAAGTTCCTTGTTACAATGCAATTTTAACAGTAACTACCCAGAGTTCGGCAAATTTCACAGGCCAAGAGCACAATCCTCCAGCAGACCCTCCTCACTCAGACACCAGCCCAAGCTCCAGCGTTCCTGGGCTATCACACCAACTAGTTACAAATTCAGAGGTTTCCACTACAGCCTCAGGTTCAGTAATTCACGAGAGTGACTCACAGAACTTGGGAAGGGGTTATGATTCCAGCTTTAGTACAAGGACATAGATCCCAGCAGCCAAATGAAGAGAGGCAAGATCTGAAACCTTCCATGTCCTCAGGATGCATCACCAACCAGGAAGTTTGATCCAGTTTTGGTGTCCAGAGTTTTTAATTGGGAGCTCATGACATAGACATGATCAATTGAATCACTCGCCATGTGATTGGTTTCATTCTCTAGTCCTGTCCTCTGCTCCAGAAAGCAGGGCTGATGAGGTATGGCTTAGAGCCCCAACCCTCTAACCACATGGGTGGTCCTCTACCTGGCCAGCCCCCACCCTGATACTCTGTAAATTCAACTGTGCTCCAAGGGGCCCATTGTGAATAACAGAGACACTCCTGTTTGGAAATTCCAGGCTGCCTCCCAGGAACCAGGGATAATGAACAGCCAAAGCCTTTGTTATACAACACTGATAACAACTAATAAACAGTTCAAATACCATTTGGAATCCAAATCCCAGTGAGGCTGAAATTCTGGAGCTGAAGCTCTCCTCAGTTGACTTGGTGTGGCTATTTTTAATGACAGAACCAGGAGCTGTCCTGGTTAAGGAATTCAGAATAAGTAGGTAGTGTTGATTCCCAAAGTAAATGGAAAAATGGGTATGCAGCTAATGATGACTGTGGTTGAGTAACCAGGCTAATTTAGAAGATAGATTGGGTAATCTGACAGTTTGCATAAAAAGAATGAGTTCAGAGGAAAGTCTCTAGAGAGGCAAAGTTCATGCCCCCCATCACTTGGACTTAGGGGATAATCAGCATGAAGACTGCAAGTCCACAAGTGTCGCCCACATGATGGGAACTCGGTGCGCCCATGCTAGGAACTCAAGCCCCAATAGCTCTATCATGCAGATTTGTTATAAGATCATAAAATCATGATGAATATCGGGCAGGGTGCTGGAGTCCTGCTCTTTCTTCAAAAAAGCCCAAGACCATAAAGACAAAAGGAAGTTTGAAGCCGAAGAAATTATCCAGATAAACTCAAAAACCTGTTTATGCTAAGAAAATGAACAACAATGTGGAAATGATTTTCCTTATAGACAAGACTAGAAATCTTTAAGTAGAGACATTTGTAGTAATTTGTACTATGTTGGACTTGTTCTATGCTATGATTCACTAGTTGGAAACTAAATAGCTGTTCATAAAGAGGGTTTCATCATGTGGTAGATCTTCTGTAAAGTCCTGGTCCCTAGAGTAAAATATTTGCATCTGGATATAAGAGATAATGGGTTTGAAAATCTAAATGACCCAAATGAGCTTAATCTCATCAATAACGTAATTAATTCTCCACTCTCAGAAACAAAGTATTTAATGTAAAAGAAGGGTAGGGTGTTGTATGTATGGTTTTATTTGCTTGTCTTGCTTTGCTTTATAGAGTTAGTAGTGGAAATTTCTCATTTTTATTAGCAACTGTCATTGATCGGTGTTTCTTGAATTCCAAATGAGGGAGAAATCTCTGGTTTTTTTGTCTTATGTCAATAGCATATTTTAGTCTTTTCATATAAGGTAATAAATGATATTTCACTATCTTATTAGTGTTATTTTCACTATATTCCCCAAATACCTGTTAACCCTGGGAGCAAAAATCTTTACGGGATCAAGTCACACTGAATGTGTCCCATGGTGGCCAACAGACAGCTGGCCCTGGGGGACCTTCCTGAGGCTGATTTATCTATTACTCCCTTCCCACTTGCACATTCATCCGTGTCTTTGCCCATAGCTGTAATTACCAGATAGTAATTCAGAGGAGGTGGCATAAAAATACAATGTTCAGGTAAACGCAATAGGGAATCTGATCTGAGTTTAGAGCTGGCACATCTTTTGTGAACTCCTCAACTACATTTCAAAGTTCTTAAGGGCTTTGAAATCTAGGAAATATATATAAACTAATTAGTATAAAGAAGCCTGGCATCATTTTCTCAGCATGAATAAAAATATAGTGAATAAATATAGTGAATGTGCCTGTCGTCATAGCTACTCGGGAGGCTGAGGCCAGAGGATCACTTGAGCCTAGGAGTTTGAAGCTGTAGTGAGCTGTGATGACACCACTGCATTCTAGCCTTGGTATCAGAGTGAGACTCTGTCTCAAAAAAATTACATTATTAATACGTATTATAATTATATTATAATTGTATATTACATTATATATTATATATATAGTGGAAATGTTATAATATTGAATATGTTAAAACAAAATTACTAGCAGGACATCTACATTATGAAAGAAAAAGAATATGTTCTGTTCAATCATTACATTTAGATGTAATATGTATAGAAATGCAGAAAAATATATAGTTCTATAAGGTGATTTTTTTATTCTATTTTCCAAATACTCTGTGAAATTTTTATACTATGTTGAAATTAAGAAATACAAAGGAAAAAGCAAAGTAGAAACAGTTTTGTCCATTAAAAATGTTTTTGCTCCTTTCATTAGAAACATTTGCCTTAAACCCTAATCAATTCACTCATTATGCTTACATTGTAGAATTGGGCGTAGATCAAGGCAGCATAGTAGGCAGGAGAGATTGGCAAGGATTCCAAAGACCTGTGGCTTAAGGAACAGTGAAACTTGTTAAGATGACTGCATTCATAAGGCCAAACTTTACACCTCCACATTAGTTTGTAAGCAACTCTTAGAGGTTGAACTGGGTCCTAACCTCCAGTACCTGTGAATGTGACCTTATTAGATAATAGGGTCATTGTATGATCAAGCTGAGTTCATTAGTATAGGCCCTAATCCAATATGACGGGTGCCCTTATAAAAAGGGGAAAACTGGACACAAAGAAATACACACAGGTAGAATGCCATGTGAACATGAAGGCAGAGATCAGAGTGAT